GTCCCACTGGGATCACATGGTTTCCCTTCCTTTCTTTACTCCAGGTTCCAGCCATGATCACCCATCCTTCTTTTACCAGGCACTATAGAGAAATCAATGATTGGTGGCTCTTCCCTGATGCAAGAGTCGCATGTAATTCAGCTCCAGAACTGTCACTCCTCTGCAGAGGACTCTCCCCATTCCCTGGCATGCCTGGTTGTGCCCCTTATAAGGGCTGCATTGTCCATATATGTGACAAGACTGGAGCTATTGTTTCAGAATACAGCCCCGTGGCAGAGACAAACTTAGAAAGGCAAACTCAGTGCCCACGCATACACATTGTCCTATGTGTATGCTACCCTGAGTCCAAGAGAGAAATGGTCTATGTGTTCCCTAATATTGCAAATTATCCCACTTTCATTTTGTTCTAGGACACTGTGTGTGTCCGGAGCTGTTAACATATTCTAAATACAGGAGAACAATTCACAAGAGCTCTGTGGAAATGCATTAGCAGGTTTTCAGAGAGCGCATTACACAATAGTATTCAAGGGCACCCTTTGGCAATCCTAAAAATTGGCCCCTGTGCACTTAAAGCTCAACATTCCCAAAGCTGGAAAAGGGACAAAGAAGAGAAAATTACTGGTGGCTTAATCAGTTACAAACTAAAGAGAGGAAGTGTGCTTTGAGGGTTTTTTTCACTAACTTGAATAGCTAAATGGTAACTAATAAATGAGACCTAAGTGACACTGAATGCTATGTTCTGCCCCTAGGACCTTTTCCAATAATGAATGTCATACCTGGAAATTTAATTGAATTGTCTGAGAAGGCAAAGCAGGAGAGGGAAAATAACCCCTGTATTGAGAGCCCCCTCTTTTTCTGCGAGCTCTTGATGACTACCTGAAGTGCAGGCATTGGGTACTTACACTGATGGAGAGCACGGGACCGATTTTGTACATAGAATATCTGTCTGTCCCAGCACAGATGTCCTGTATGTCCTCTCCACTTTCCTCCAATCTGAGCTCCTTTTGCATAAACAATGCAAATGCTTTCATTCTGTTGGGGCTCCCACCAACGCAGACAAACTGTTAATAAAAAGAAACAATTACCTGCCTTAATAATTTGGATAAGAACCAAAGGTCAGCTTTCAACTTTAATGTTTTTTTATTTTATTTTTTAGTAATTTATTTAAGAGTATTGTAGATGGTATGGGTTACGTTCATGAGTTAACTCATTTGTAGCATTAACATGTAAATAAGACAGCCAGACACAAAGTNTCATGGACAGCTTACCTTTTAGACCACAAAGTCGACACATGGCCGCAAACACTGTAGATTCCATTTCGATGTTCCTGACGCCAGCTTTATATGCCCTCTTCAAATAGTCTACCTTTTTTTCTCTGGAAAAGGAGCACAGTGCTCCATCTAGTCGACCCTGGCCTGAAAGAGAATGGAGAACATTTGGTGACTTAACATCTTACCACAGTGGCAGTGGCATTACTAAGAGGCTTGCTTGCTCTCAGCTGGGGTGCTCTGCAGCTGACTCTAACTCTTGGGCCTGCACCCCAGGTAGAATAAACCTTGCCATCTGACTCTTCCTATCAGAGGACCAGGAGCAAGGCTTTGCCCAGCTGTCATATGTAGAGAGGGGTCTCCATGGTGCTGAGTGTCCCAGCTCTGCGACATCAGTAACCATTGAATGGCCGTAGCAGCCAGCACTGTGCCCAGGGACAGCATGAGCCAGAGGGTTGTTGAGAGATGTGCCATTTGAGGAAAATCTCAGGTTGCTCCTGAGACTGGGGGATGGTCCAGGGCCAGATGCTGGGGGAGAAGAAGCGGTTTCAAGCCTCAGTGATGCTCGGAGCTATTTGAGAATCAGGACGGTGGTTTGGACATTGCAGCTCTCTGTCTGGCCATCATGACAGTGGTAGCCATACTGATTTGTCCACCTTCTTCCCTGCCATACAGGCTGTCAGGCTGTATACCACCCCATTGTGATCACTTTTTCCCTTCTAGGCTGCTCTTGGAGTTCATTTATCACTTAATTTCACCTGTGTCAACTAATGGGGCCAGAAGGAGGCGGGCAAAGCCTGATGTTATTTCTCCTCCTCCACTTCGCACGCACTAGGAACAGGTTGCTTCCTGCCCCACTCCCAGCGATGGCCTGGGTTAAGGCAAGGAGGTCAATAGCACCCTGTCATCATCTATGATTTGCACAGTCCTCTTTTTTGGCTTCCCTCTCTTTTTCTCCCTTTCCTCTACCTTTCATGCTACTTCCATCCTGGCTGTCTGTTCCACCTTGTTCCTTCCTCCTTAGGGCTGCCTGCCAATACCTATAATGTAGTGTTACTTAAGCAGATTCAAACTCAGATGTCCAGAAGTCAAACAGGTAACGACAATGAGGCCTTTGTGGTCTGAAGGGAGCAGCCTCACTTCACCTTTATTGAATTAACTTGCCAGGGCCACCATGCATTATTTTCCTTTCTTTAATGTTATATCATTTAAGAAGGCAAAACTATGGATTTTCATATGAAATCTCCAGAAATTATAAAGATTAACAAAATAATTCATTTTTTACAAATTTTGTGCAGGGCCAAAGAAAATACAAGTCAATCCTCTAATTTTTTGTTTGAGGATTTCTGAGGTCCCTTCTTGCTCTAAAAAAGGTGTAGTTCTAAGACAAAATCTCAGCCCTTTTTATAATTCTCATTCAGTCCTGTTACTCTGCCAACCAAGCCCTTCCAGTTACAAAAAAAAAAAAGTTTACAAATAGAAAAAACGGGCTTCCATTTGCAAACTTTGGCTTAAACCTATTGGCTTCCTTTCCAATGAAGGGGCCTGTGGCTTATAAGAGTCTCAACCTTATTAGACCCAGCATGCCACCTATTTTATAACACCTATGATGTGACTTATTAACCCGAAGTAACATTTATAGATAATATTGCCTATCTCCATACATAATTTTAAAAAATTTAACATAATGTCCTAGTTTGATACAAAGGGGGGGAAAAAACAGAAAATAATTTAAAATGAAATAATCTGTAGTTTGATGAACATACTCAAACACAACCACACTACAAGCTTTCTAGAATGCCCTCGAAGGAATGGTACCAACCCTGGTTAGATTCTGTTTTCTAAAACGAGCAGGGTCTCTGTCCTTTTTTTTTTTTCTCCTGGCTCCTCGTCCCTTGTAGCAAGAGCTACTTGGCAGTCACCTTCAATTTGTCCCTAAACTTGATTTGGGGACCCTTTACTCATCACTGAGAGAAAAAGC